CCCCCCCCCCCCCCACCTTGCAAACTGTGGATGTGTTTTGTCTTGCAAAATAATAAACGTCCCAGAAAAACACTGTCATTTTTAGATGTTAACGGGAAGAGGGATGATAATTGTTCAAAAGACTGAGCTGCCTGTATACTTGCTTACTTCCAGAAAGTCTTTATTTTATTTGTTTGGCATAAATAATTTTCTGATCCAGATTCAGCGCATGCCTCTATATAAGCACTCATGTGCTTAACACTAAGCATGTGCTTAAGTGCATTCCTGAACTGGGCCAAAAGGTACCTCCTTTGAAATTTTTGTCCATAGCTGCTGTTCTTGGAATGATGCCTTTTTTGGTGAAAATTGATGTGGGGTTACAGTAACCATCTAATTCTGATTAGACAAATGGCATTATGGAAGAAGTATTAAAAATTTATAGTCCTATTTACTAAGTTTATTTGTTGGCCATAAAAAGCCGAATCTTACATAACATAAAAAGCATCCATTCCTAATGATGAAAAAGATATAAAAAGATAATGGTGCAATCATAACATGTCTCTGAGAGTTTGTACATCTCAGTTGCAGTTTGGCACATTGCATAATTGTGTTGTGCCAAACTGGCACAAAACCACAATATGTTAGTGAAAAGGGCCCGCAGTTTAAGAGGAAAATCTAGAAGTGTTAACTATACACTGTCTAATTATACAACCTTACTGTCCCAGAATGTGATTTCTGAAACCATTTCTGACATATGGGAAGAGGGTAGAACAGCTGGTCATTAAGGTTTTCTCAAGACTATTTAGTAACACACTTGAATGTAATTAAAGTGCTACATTAAATACTGCACTTGTGTACAATGTATTTTTAATCTTTATGGCATGCTGTAAAAGTAAATAAATGCAAAGCATTAACATTTCTCCCCTTCATCTCCTAAACTGTTAAGATATAATGACAGTCCCTATCTATGCTGCATGTATTACCTGAAGAATATTCTGGTGCTTTGTGAGCATCCTGTGCAGCAGGTAGAAAGCAAACCCAAGCTGAATTGTGCAAGATGGATGTAAGTTTACTTGATTTCATTTGCCCAAGTTAAGCCATGCTGACTTACCTGGATGTATTTCAACAGACAATGTTGCAATGATCCTGGTTTATTTGAAGCTTTCCTTTGGAACCAGTCAAGGTGATGTAAAGCAACTTTGACCCACACTGGATCTAACGCAAGAAGCAAAACTTTGTACACAAAATGAGCAAACATCTTTGCAGCAAACTTTACTCTCAGGTGTCCCCATGGGACTTCTGCCCCAAAATACAGAGTCAGAATTAATTTCCATAGAGATGGGTTAAATCATAGAACTGCATTTATACCCCATAATCTTCACTGCAAAAGAAGTACCTAGAGCATCAAGATAGTTAAATGCTATGCACGATTGGGGCCCCAGTTATTTATGTGTTCCTTTCCTCTATTGTCTGTGAGTGTCTGTGACCTGTATTTCTATTTCTACATACAAAAATCAGGGATCTGTATGAACCTAAGGGCACTGTAGAGAAACTTGAATCAGCCCAAAACTGTGAAACAACTCATTCTGAAAAATTACCTTGAGACCGGCACGAGTACCAGTACTCCATTAATGATAGCCTGGCGATTCTGTGGTCCCAAAACTGAAGAGATTCTGTAGAACTGTTAAAAAGATGTGTTCTTAATGCACTTTCTTGGTTTGATGCACAAACAGGTAAGAAAAAAAAAACTGTTTTAAAATACTTACTTTGGCATGAAGTGTTTCTCTGCATCAGACTTGTGCTTTCTGATATTGGTATTTTGTTTTACATTTTTTAATAACACTTTCACTTTGAAAAGAGAGGCCAGAAATTTATTGAAATGTTGAAAATGTTCTTGACTTCTCCTAAATTCCAGCAAATACATGTTTTAATTGACTATTCACTGAATATCATCAAGAACTGCTGTGAGTTCCTTCAGTTCTTGGAACAATTTTTTTGTGAATTCGGCACTTTCTAAAAAATACTTTGTCCTGCACTGTGGTGGTTTCCTTTGAGCATGAAGGATAGCTTTACACAGCATTTTACAACACCAAATCAAAACAGGGAAGACAGAGAAAAAGCTTAGAAGAAGACAGATTTAACAGAGCACTCAGACCATAGCTTCCAAGTCAATAAACTAGCATTCATCAGGGACGCTACAATGAAAACCATGGAAATGAAAACATGTGTGTACTATGTTCTTAAGAGCTATCTAGTGACAATGATGAGTTCTGCCTGCGACTGCACATGTGAAAAACAGCTTTAGGTTACTTTTCAAAGGTAGGCATAAGTTTTTATTTTCTCTGAAATACAATTTTAGGGTTTGATTTGTGAATAGTTGCTATTTGTGAATGAGCAAAGGAGGATGGAGTATGGCAGGCTGTGTTTTACCTTTTGCTGGGCATTTTCTAGATCAGTCAGAATCCTTCTGTTCAAATAAACGAAGCTTTTCCTCTCTGCTAATGGTGCATCTGCAGCATTTTTTTTTTGAAAAAGGAGCAGTGGCATGTGTAGCTGATCATCCAGTCTTCCTGACTCTCTGTTCATGGATGGATTTTGCATCACATTACGTCCTGCAGCTGGTATGTGCTATCAAAACCAAGAAATGCCAACTAATGTAGAAAAACCCATGAAGGCAGGAGACACAACTCTCCTATGGCAAGTTAATTCATTTTCACAAGAGATAAGAATAACTATAGATCTCACCACATTCAGTGTTAATTGCAAACCTCATCTCTCTGACTTAACTTTGCCTCATTAATTTCTTCACACACAGTTGCCAGGTACAACCACATCTAAGCACAAACACAAGCAAACAAAAACATGCTAATCAAGCTACTTTCCCTACAAGCTAAAAAAAAAAAGAAAGAAAAATGAAAGACACTGGCATATTTAGGTATTTGGAAGATAGTCAGATGTTGTGCTGGTACCGGCTAAGTAAATACTGTGAGAAGTCACTTCTTCATAAAAACTTCTGCGAAACATACTGTCACCTCACTTTTTCAGGAGAGTAAATTCCTTCAAGGTTAACCCAGAACCACCCACTTTTGGTTTTCTACGCCTAGAGACCAATATTAAGAAATAAGGTAGGCATCACTTCTTTCAAACTGTACCAGACAGCCTTAGATCCTTTCCAAACGCACCCAAAGACAGGCAGCTGCCATCGACCTGGACAGGGTGTGGGTATTGGCAGAAAGATTTCTTTTCCCTTCTTCTCAAATAATTTTCACCCCAAAGAGGGATGCAGGGCATGCACTGATTATGTGAGGAAGCTATGGGGAAAAATTTTGTTCCTGGGTAGTTGTGTGTCACAGAGTGCAAAGGAAACTGGATGTCTCTGCAAGAGGAGAACATCTCCTGGGTGATTCACTTGAGTGAATGCCCTTTGGAACCACGGGAAGGAGTTGTGTGGAGCCACATGAGAACATGCAAACTGATGGTGAGCAGAGTGTACACAAGTTGCTCATTTAAGGAAATTATATTATTCTTTTTCCCTTTTCTGCTTGCTTTCCCAACAGTACTGCTGATTTAACCCTGTATAGTCATCTCACGAGCACTGAAACATTCAAATAATATCCATTACAGAGCAGTTTATGTGCATCACAGAAGTATCTTCCCTAATTTGTCTGAAAAATATCTGCATCTGCTGTGTGCAGACTTGAGCACTCGCAGTCAGACCTCCGGCTTGATTCCACTCAGCTGAACCCAAAATTAGATCTTAGAAAACAACCATCTCTAAGACAATCAACCTCAATCCAGGCATTTCTGGTGAATGGGTGTTAATTGTCCTTGCACAAAATGCGAGCAATGCACCAGTACAGCGTTAGTTGTCTGACCCTAAGCAAGAGAGCTGTTATGGAAGGCAAAGACCGGGGAGTAGGGATGGAGCCATGGCTCCTGCTCACTGCTGTGTTGGCCCTGCCTGCCCTTCTCTCCTCACGCCCCAGGCTGGCAGTGCCATCGGCCACTTTGCAAAGGTCTTTATTTGGGGTTTTTTAGCCCTAAAGTTAGCCATGGCAGTGATTATTATCAGATTCTTGCTCTGGGTTTGTTGTCTTATTTCTTGAGTTGAACCACCTGTTGAATGACAAAGACTCACCTGAATAATCCTTCAGTCACCTGAATTACCTTGTGTATTTTTTTATTTTGTCTTAGAGGAGTTCCACATCAAACACTTTATCTTCTATTGCTGCGTATTCTCCTGTCACCTAAGAAACAACAGTTTCTCTTTCTTTGATTTAATGTCACACTCCATTTCCCTTTCTAGTCACAATTTCTAATTATTTCAGCCTACTAACTCAGATATTAAACTGAGTCAAGACCAATACGTATAATCTGTTGATTTAAACAATATCCACTCACGAAGTCTGCAGTTTACAGGTGAGATGTTCTTCCTTTAGAAAACAGGCAGCTCTCCTACTACTAGGAGTTGCAGCCAGATAGATGCAGCTCAGCTTTTATGAATCTCCTCACCAGGATTTACTTAGGCAGCAGTCTGGCACTGCCTGGCTTTAGCTGTCCACCATAGTGGAGTAAGTGTTAAATAAACCGAATACACAGAATTTACCTGTAGCGTTCTACATTTACTGCCTAAGGGTAGAAGAAAGGTATGCCTGAGATTATGAAGACTAAACCACAAAGCTGAATTTTGCCCAGATGAAAAATGTCTTTGACACCAATGGATGCATATGAAAACCATGCACATAGTTGGGGTAGAATTTTTATATTTCAGCAGTGAGACTACTTTTTAACTATTTTTTCTAATTTTTTTTTCGTAGTAACGCATCAGAATGTTGCAAAGTAGGTAAAATAAATTTTCATGAAGATTTAAAGGAAAGGAAGCCTTCAGCAATTCACCTCTAATGATGAA